GTGATAAAACACGACTACAAGTGCTTTAAATAGCTTAAAAACGACTCATCTTATACGACTCATCTTATATATATATATATATAGTTACTCGTTCGTTCAAAGCAATCTTTCACCTACCTCGCCTGCAATGAAGTAATCTATTCATAAGATCTACTTTTCTTACAGCTTACATCACCCCTCCTCCCACTCTTCCTTCCACCACCTCATCGGGAACCACACTCCCTCCCACCACCTCATCGGGACTCCTCCCACTCTTCCTTCCACCACCTCATCGGGAACCACACTCCCTCCCACCACCTCATCGGGAACCACACTCCCTCCCACCACCTCATCGGGAACCACACTCCCTCCCACCACCCCATCGGGAACCACACTTTCTCCACCATCTGCACTCTCCACCATCTGCACTTCAAACTACTCAAAGCAACATTGGTGGAACAACCCAAACCAATCTTGATACAGGTCCAACTAGTCCCCTTACAACAGGTTCGGCAGGAATAACCGGGTCAACTTCAGTTCCTACCGGTTCTGTATCAACAACTATGGGCTATGCTTCAATAGTAGGCTTCGCGCTAAATCCGATCCCCGCTCAGGAATTTGGTCAAAGTTTTTCAGTCGGATGGGTAATGACCGCAGGCACGAATGTTACAGTCGCTATAACGTATAATGGTATCCCATGTTGCAATGCGATCGCACTTAGCAACACTGGTGGCCAATGTGATTGCTTAATATCGGTCTCAGGTCTATTTGACCCAGACGGCGTGGTGAATATTAGCGCTGTAGCCTCAAACCTAGTGTCCAGTATCCCCGCATACATCCAGATCGAAGTTTTAAAAATCATCACCCAAGTGTCGTTTACCATGTTGACAACTTACTCGGACTTTGGAACTGGGGTCGAAGGACGTGGGAGCCAGAAAAACGTATTTCCTGCGGAATATCCTGTGAAATTTAATTGTTCCTACACAGGTAATTCGATCAGCGTAAATCTGGGCCGTACGCTACCATTTTAGTCGCCTGATATATGGTATTAGTATTATTATTATTATCATCATTATTATTATCGTTATTCTTACCATCATCTTCATCGTCATCATCATCATCTTCATCGTCATCATCATCATCTTCATTATCATCCTTCATCGTCATCATCATCATCTTCATCATCATCATCTTCATCGTCATCATCATCATCTTCATTATCATCATCATCTTCATTGTCATCATCTTTATTACCATCATCATCTTCATTATTATCATCATCATCTTCATTGTCATCATCTTCATTATCATCATCATCTTCATTATCATCATATCATCATCTTCATTGTTATCATCTTTATTATCATCATCATTTTCATTGTCATCATCATTACCATCATCATCTTCATTGTCACACCATCATCATCATCATCATGGTCATCATCATCATCATCATTATTATTATTCTTATTAGGTGGTCCTGTAACAGATGTGGAATGGATATTTAATTGCGATGTCGATGGTACCATCGAAGAATCGCAGTTCTTTTTTCACAAGATCTTTTCAAGCCAGAGCAGTCAGAGTTGTCAAATTACTTTGAGACTACAAAACAGTATCAATTCAACGCTTGCACATGGTAACGTAGAGCTCAAAGAAAGCGTTATCGTCACCAGTATGACCAGCAACGGCCCAGTAAAACTAAATGAAAGCATCGCATTCACGATCTCTCTGGAAAAACTCGGCACCCAAACCTGCATGTGGGTTGACTTGGGTGATAATAGCTCCCTTCTTGTATTCGGTCACGACTCTTGTCCTGGTAGAATCGATGTTTCTCAGGTTAACCCAAATATCGTGTCGGAGCCACGTTTGAAATTTTCCTTCAAAAGTTCAGACACCCAGGAGATTGTCATCAATCATGTGTATTCGGGTGTTGGTTCTTATGACGTCAGGATGAACGCGTCAAATGATGTTTCCATGGTAACACAAGAAATGGTCGCCGTTGTTCATCTTTTCGTTTGTCGTAACCCTAACGTGACAGTAGTAGGTAATTGGTTACTTATTTGTTTTTCGTGGCGATTGCCGCGTGTCTCCCAAAACTGTGCACTGTCGTTTGCATTTAAGGATGCAGAGTCACCGATAAAAAATCGCCTATTCTGATGTGAAATTTTAACGCAAATTGTATTGCATTGTTACTACAAGGACAAACCCAAATTGGAACACGCCCCCCCCCCCCATGATTTCTGAAAGCTTTTGAATGATGGCTGAATAACTGTTTAACAAAGCTGTAACAATTTTTCAGCCATGAGAACATTGGTGGGCTATGAATTAAGCTAAATATTGCATGAAATTTAAGGCGACAAAGTTTGACCGAAGGACTAAGGCCTGTTTCATACGTCGAATTTAATTCAGACGAATTTAATTCGTTATTAAATTCGTCAATTGGTCGACACTAAAATGGTTTCGTTTCAAACGACGAATTTAATTCAGACGAATTCATTTCATGTTTAGCGATCATGGATTACCCAGAAGTAAAAAACCACGGGACCAGAAAGAGAGAAACAGACTTTAACATAATTTATGCATTTAATTCGACACGACGATAACACGTCGTATGAAACGAAGACGCGCTACAGACGTTGTATCCGTCTGACCATGACGGATACAACGTCTTGGACGAATTTAATTCATCAGACGGATTTAATTCGTTTCATACGACGCACTAACGTCGCATTTAATTGGTTCAATTAAATTCGTCTGAATTAAATTCGACGATAGTGCGACGTATGAAACGGGCCTAAGATTTGCAGCCACGAAAGGTTGTCATATATCTTAGAAACGTCCAAACTTTGTATGATTAATGGCTGATTCCAGCTGTAGACGAAATTTTGATCTAGACAAGAAGAACGAAATGAATAGCTGGAAAGAGCATCTTAAAATGAGTAAAAGTACAAAGTTTGGTTGCGAATTGTTGTAAAATGAGGAAAATATAGCCCTGTGAATTTCGCAAATTTTGTATATATTTGCATTACGCGCGGGAAAAATAACCATTTTTGAGCCGAAAGTGATTACTTTTACTGCGTGTAATACAAATATATACAGTATTTGCGAACTTCACAGGGCTACATTTTCTTTATTTTACAACATTTAGCAACCAAATTTTGCAGTTTTATTCTAAGACGCTGTTTCTATCTGTGGTGTTGGATCTCGTTCTTCCCTTGATCAAAATTTAGTCTGCACCATTATTAATACAGTTTTATTTATTCATTACTCAGGTTTATCCCCAAATTCGTCCAACGTCTTAAATGCAGCTCAAGTCTACCGCTCGATGCCCATAGCTTTGTCAACCGAGAATGTTATAGATTGCGAGATAACGGACAGGACGAAAACAAAATGGACTGTATTCAAATTTGATGACGATCCTCGCGTTCTGAGAACGGTTCCAATTTCCAGTTTAAAAAAGACAGCGTATCACTCAGATATTTCTACCTCGGAGCTTTTACTCCCCGGAAGAGATTTACCATACGGCTTCTACGAGATTAGTGCCCGGGTAGAAATGACTGGTTTACCGGATGTATTTGGAAGTGATTCAGTTTATATCCAGGTGGTGCAGACTCCTTGGCTCGAGGCTGCTGTGATTGGCGGGTCATTCTATACCGCGCCTTTTGGATTTATTGTAAGCTGTCTATTTATCAATCTCAAATTCATTAATAATTCATGAGTAAATTAGCCAACCATATTGCTTTATTTTGTTCACATGATAATACTGGATACCTGGTGAAGTATATTGATCCAGTTAATCCAGATACCTGGTGAAGTATATTGATCCAGTTAATCCAGATACCTGGTGAAGTATATTGATCCAGTTAATCCAGATACCTGGTGAAGTATATTGATCCAGTTAATCCAGATACCTGGTGAAGTATATTGATCCAGATCCAATTAATTCATTCCATGGACTGGATCAAAATTAATTCAACTGACTTTAAGTAGTGATTTATTCGTACGAGATTGTCATTCAAATCCTCCAATTCGGACTGGACTAGATTTCAAGTCCTCGCATTTTGATCCAGTCCTCGGCTTCGCCTCGGGCTTCACAGACTAGTCCCAAGTCCTCTGTGCACGCTTTTGATTTCCGTGATGTCACCTCATTAATATGCAGAAACGCGCAATAGGCGAACTAAGAGGCCTAGGGACTAGGCTGGCGGGCTTCATCAAATTGCGCGGACTTGGAATCTAGTCCAGTCCTCATAGTCAGATTTTAAATATTTAACAGTTATTCTACGAACTCGAGTCGAATATGAGCTGATAGCCGATGAGGCGCGTAGCGCCGAATCGGCTATTGCTCATATTCGACGAGAGTGAGTGGAATAACTGTTTTATTATATACACAAGGTCTGAATTCACAGACTTTGCTTTTCCGTTATTTCCATAATTTTTCTATTTTGTTTATGTTTTTATCTTCGCTCTTTCGCCCGATTATTTTTTCAAAAATATACATTTTTAACCATTTTAAATTTTAAAAATTTATTTGCTAACCTGAAAACAATTTGTGGGAGTTTTTCCATTCTGTTTTTAATCCTGTGAAGGCTATAAAAAGCGACAACTTGCCGTTTTCTCGTTTGCAAAACATCGTAAATTCAGTTTGGCCGCCATTTTGTTTTTCTCTACTAGCAGGATATGAGCTAATATCCTGCTAGTAGAGAACCAATCAGATTGCAGAATACCTCATATCCAGACCTTGTGTATATAATAATGAGTATTATACTGTATATCAGCGATAGCATCATAACATGCAAATTGCAATTGTTCTGTATCACAATATGTGCAGACTAAGATATGTTATGTGCTTTGACATGGGTTGAATATATTTGCTTACAATTATTACAACCTCAATAAACCAAGTTTCATGCCGTTTGGCGTGAACTTTCGAGGAGTTCTAGACTGGACTGTAGCGGTTTCCCAACAACCTAACCGTACAACTAAACCATGTCAGGCAATGGACGACTTGCACTTTAGAAAAATTTTTAATTTGGGAATAACAAAGGATATTTTCGGAAAGAAGTTATCAAAATTAGAAAAACTGCAAAGTTTGGTTGCGAAATGTTGTAAAATACGGAAAATATAGCCCTGCGAAGTTGGCAAATTTGTATACAGTTCTATTACGTGCGGAAATTGGTAACTAATTTAGTTACCAATTCACGCACGTAATACAAAAGTATACAAATTTGCCAACTTTGAAGGGCTATATTTTCCGTATTTTACAACATTTCGCAACCAAACTTTGCAATATTACTAATTCCAAGACGCTCTTTCTAGCTGTGGTGATAGATTTCGTTGTTCTTGCTTAGATTAAAATTTAGTCTAAAGCGCAAGTCGTCCATTAAAGGGAGTTAGTTATATTATTCCAGTTGATCATAACAAGTTGTTTTGCAGATCCAGCAAGCACTGTCGCCACAAGGCGGTTTACTCTTTACCATGGTAACTGCATAAATGGTCGATATGGCATGGTTGACAAAATCGATCGGTCAAAATAACTCATTGGTTGCCGGTCAAATCCTTATCGAGTGTCAATTTTCAAAACTCGAGGCAGGACTATATATTCACTGGTCCAACCAACCACAACTTGGACTTTTGCGCACAAACATCTGAATAACTGAATATAAGCTATGTTAAGCAGGGATGGATCCAGCATGATCTGGTAGGGGGGGGATGCTTTGCCAGCTCTGGTGCCGAGTTGTGTCGGTCATGTGTGCCGGCCGCCCATCAACTTGCTTCACTACTGCAAAGTCTTGCTTGACTACTGTATTTGAATTGTAATTGTTGTTCACGATTCGCTTATCATCATGTTATTACTCAAATTACTGTATCTCATTTTGCCTCTAATAATTGTTTGCTTTATCATGAAAAATAGCACCCCCTCTGGCCAGGGCTAGGGGGGTGCACCACCCCCCCCCCCCCCCCCCCACCACCACCCCCACAGTAAATCCATCCCTGATGCTAAGTCCTTCGGTGCAGGTCAAATAATAAGACTTGGCTGTATATAGTAAAAGGTTTATACATTAATTAGCCATTCCAACGTTGATGAGAGGACTGGGACAAGTGTTAAAAAGCGCGAAAATTAAGAAAGGAACCAAATCACTAAAAAGACCACCTCAAAATTAGTAAGTATACAAAGTTTGAAGACGTTTACATGAATACCTTTCGAATAATAAGCTTTCGAAAATTGCGATATCAATACTATGAATTAAATGTACTGTAATTTTTGTTTTGGGGGAAATTGGGGACGGACGTCCCAAAAACAGTCCTTTCATTAATCAGTAATTTCACAATTTTCGAAAGCTTATTATTCGAAGTGTATTCATGTAACTTCATTCATGTGTATACTTACTCATTTTGAGATGGTCTTTTTAGTAATTTGGTTCATTTCTTAATTTGGTCACTTTTAACACTCGCCCCCAGTCTACTCATCAACCTCGGAATGGCTAGTTACCTCGTGAATTGCTGACGTCTTAATTTAGTTCAATTTTGTCTGCAAACTGCAAAAATTGTATATATTTTATGTCATCAATGAAGAAAATAAAACGTAGCGGTCCGAAGACAGAGCCTTGTTGAACTCCACGTATAATAGTTAGATTTTCCTTATTAAGAAAATCACAAGCAAGACTCTATAGCGGTTCAAAATAGTTCATATATCATGCTAAATTTATGTATGAAAATATCATGTCCAGCAATGGTGTTTTGTATTCTGTATACATCGCTATGCTAGTGTCTGGATCCAGATGCTCAGTCTCGGTTTCTTGATAATAGTGCCATGCTCAATTTGAAAAGAAAGGGATGTTTCGAGGGAACAGCTAGGGGTGGTACTGGTTACCGTCTTCCTGTGCTGTATATGCTCCTTGCTACAAATCATCCACATAATTGTGTTCAGAAACATGCTATAACCCAGACCTCTTGGGGAGGTTTATCTGTATATTATAACGAGTATCGTAAGAGCACATTTCAAACGGGGTGTGCAGTTCCTAAAACAGATACCAGAATTAAAAATCGAGGAATAGATCCCTACATTGGACTGACGGCAGATTGTAGCGATACAGAGAATAAACGTTTCAATTTTGGTAAGTTGTTTTTGTTTGTATGCAGTTAATTTGTTTGATATATTTGAACATAAAAAGTTCTTACTTGTGGCTTTGCAGTTTGCATTATAAAATTTCTCACCCACCATGCACTGCGCTAAGCTAACCCAGAAGACAGATGTAATAAAAGGTTTATACCTTCTTCATACATATAAGAATGGTTCAATAACCTCGGGAACTGCTGACGCCTTAATTTTGTCCACAAAAGTAAAAATTGTATATATTTTATGTTATCGACGAATAAAATAAAACGCAGCGGTCAGTAGTAATATAGGGGCCGTTCGGGCCTTATTTTTGCGGCGGTGGAGTGCGGCGGTGGAGTGTGGAGGAGTGAGGAGGAGGAGTGAGGAGGAATGAGGGTGAGTAATGACGTCACTCATTAACATACGTCATAATTATATGCAATGACGTCACGCGGGCAGGTTTAAACAAGGATGTGTGAGACTTGCTGACTAAGCATTTTTTAGCGTCTCTCCACGTGTATGATACAATGGAGGGATTAATCTTGGTCTACTATGATTGGTTGCTTGATTTAATGAGCGTCTGTATAAAATCGTCAAGCGTTTTTTAAACTAAACAGTTGCTAATCTCGGGTTGTCAACGTCGTTGTTAAGGTCAATATTTGCATGTTGTTCAACATTATTTAGCAATCCTCCTACATACATATATACTGTTAAGATGATCATAAGAAAGCTTATCAAGAGTAGAAGTTAGAATTAGAACAGTTGTAATATTTTTTGACACTATTTTCTGTTATTTGTATCAATAAACATGTTTTAAGCTTTGCAAATTTGCGTTGTTTATGCGTTGCTAAGTCATTAGGAGGTGTGTAGGTAATTAAGGGGATTAAGGCAATACGAATTTGCATAACTAAGTGTATCCCGATGGATAGATAGGGATTATTTTTAACACAGGTGTATATCTTAAAATCAGGCGCGTGGCTTTGCGGGTACATGCATATATTAACGTACAACATATTTGTACACTAATCAGGCGGGCGGTTTGCGCGGGCGGAAAGAGCGGGCTTTGCCGGCAAAAATTTACACAATATTTTAGTTTTTAAATACATTTATTTCTTCAAAACGTTTTACAAAATTTAGTACGGTCTACTTCTAAGAGGGTAACGCTTAGGTGTTTTTGTTATTTTTAAAGAGTTCTCATATTCTTGTCTATCTTCTGGGGATAACTTTGCAACGTCTTCATCCTTCATTGGAATATATTTCGGCCTCTCGCGAAGTAATCTTTGTTCGTAACCTTCTCTTTGTTCAGGGGTCATCAT